ACTCGTGTCAAAGGATGACGAGTATTCATCGCATATTTGATATTTTCGTGTCATTATATGAATTGATGTAGCAACAGGATTACTCTGGTGTTGTCCGTATAAATTGTCATTTACCAAAACAGACATTTAGTTGAAGTCACTCTTTCAAAAACGGCATTAAACGAAATGCCCGCATATTCGGCAGTTTACTTGCGGTCTGAGGTCATCTGTCCTTCAGTGATATTAAACCACCCGTAGGACTTGCTTAAAGAATTTCTATTGCAATTATAGCGTACCTGGTATTCTTTCCTATACTAAAATACGATTGACTGTGTGATAACGTCCACAAACACTTGCCTGTTTCAAAAGCTGCCAAACTTATCGCAGAAGCTGCTTTTCGATGCCTTTACGCAATATTGAAGTAAAGCATCAAATTTTAATATTACTCAATAGAAAATTCATCGCGAAGCAGATGACATTAAATATTTACAAATTTCTCCGCCGCTGATTGGCGAGAAAGATCCATGGTATAACAGATGGCTGCTGAATATGAAAAGTTTTCCACAAGGCCATGCGCAGTGATTTTCCAGGGAAAGTATTCCACAAAAAGAAGACCCACTTGAAAATTTGCAAAAGCTGCGCATCAGCTACAGTGAATGAAGGTGTTTTCGTAGGTGCTGCATTCGACACGGCATAATCATACTGTTTCACACCCATATACTAAATGCAGATGCTGTAACACACTGAAACAAGTAACTGCATTAAAGCGGATGGCTTCTGGATGTAAACGGGGCATGATTAAAAGCCTGAAGAAAGAACGCATAGACAGCTATTAACTGAACACTGCAAGTATTAAACTAAGCTCAGAAAATACAATATAGCAAGAACAGACTTACTCATGTTTACATATACGTTTCTCACGCAACTAAGAATTTACCCAACCCACCTGTTAATCGCATGCGATTGTTTACTCAAAGTTGCAATACGTGTGAACAGCAGAACATTAACATGTTTTAAAGGCTATTTCTTTTAGTTTCATTCACAGGATTCACAAACAAATAAAATTATAATATGCAAGCATTACTGCAAAATAATAGAATACAGTATGAGAAATATAAAATGAATAATGCTTAACTTTGCCGCCCGACCTTGTCTAAAATGGCTAAACAGTGGCCTCTACCCTCTGCTCATAAATCACTCGATAGAAGGTTAAGGCGTCATTTATGAACCGTGAGGCACTGGGATTCATTTTCCCTGATCGTGCTATTCCTGCTGTAATTTCACAAAATGCACTTGTCGTCTCATTTGTCACGAAAAGTTTCGGTCTTTCTTTTGGTTCTGAAACGTTCAACGAGTTCTTCACTTCATAATACATTTTTATGTGAATCAATCATTATTTTAATATAATGTTCGTGTCATTTCACACTGTCAGTATCTTTTACAAATGAATTCCCTGTTAGATCATCTTGTGCAAGATCAAGCGCGCGCTCCCCCTCCCACGGCCATCAAGCTTTGTCAAACATCATATTTCCTTGTGATTTTGATCCTCATCTTTGGTCAGTTTTAACCCTTTTACGAATGGCTTAACGCTCCTCATCTCACTCCTGTCCCTTTTTCCGAGTCGCATTTCTACTCCATTATATCGAATGCAAACACAATGAGTCTGAACATAAATACACAGCATGTGTTCTGATAGCAGAACAAAAACAGACTGCAAAAAATGCACTCCATGCACCGCGTAACTTGTCTGCCTTGCGGAAGACCGCTGTTATATGGCGAGTGAGTTACGTAGCCGCCTTAGGTAAACTTCTAAACTGAAAATTTTTTGCATAGACTATACAGGCTAATTTGCGCAATTCTGAATTTTAATCAGTCTGCACAACGCTCAGAAATTCTTTCTTCGTTTATATTGATCTAGATTTAATTTCGCATGGATGTTAAGGACCACCATTTTTATTATAACAATTAATCGATAATATTTTGACAGGTCAGCGCTATTTTTCAACAGGTCGAACAATGGCGAAACACAAAGGTAAAAAACTTGGCTGATTTTAATGGAATATATGAGGCAAAGAAAAACTTTTCTTCGTCAAAGTAAACGTGATTACACAACATCAGGTAACATTGTTAATGATGTCGAATGCTGTTCCGGGCCTGTTTTCAGCTATAAAGGTGTTACATACCTTTTAAATAGGAGCCATAATACAGCAGATGTTGCCATAGGCTGGAAGCAAAAATGCAGCATGAAAGAATGAGGCAGAGGTAGATTTGCTTCGGAGAGAATTTTTTGCCCTGTGATTTGGTAACAAGTGCCTTATAGCAAATGCTGAAAGCTGCGAATACAACTGACAGCACAAATCACATTCGCTTTCCCATGCAAAGGTCGCCAGGTGATGAACTTAGCAAGCACATACAACACCCTTTACAGCGCATTTCATGAGGTAATTTGACGTCTCAATTTCTTGCAATCTGAAAAGTTGCGCTTTTTATATGAAAAGACATCCCATTCAATAGCCAACTATAGTCGTTTCGCCATTTTTCCATTCTTGGTACACATTGACGCCAACTAATTACCTGCTCTGCCTTTGAGTCGGCTGAAATGCAAGACTGCGCGAAAAGGCAACTTTCATGTCTACCAAAGGGTGCTTTGTGTACAGTCTGTTTTAATCAATCATTATTTACCGAAGTAGTGCTGCAGTGGCAGGTACTCACAGCACTTCAAACTATGATTTATTGATTGAACGATATTATTTACCTCAAATATGAGAACGAAACTTATTAGAAGATAATGGTATTATGGGACGAAGCAGGAGAAGTGGTACGCCTCATTCTTCGACCGTTCGAGCTTAGAC